TAGGTCTTGCATATCCCCATCCGCCGACGCCCCCCCCCGCGCGCCCCCCCAGCCCGCCCACTCGGCGGCGGCTGCGGAGGCCAAAGTGGCGCTGGCGGCGGAGGAGGCGGCGGGCCGTGGCGGCGGCGGCCCGTGGCGTACTCGCTTGGAGGCGGCCAAAGTGATCATGTCGCTGGCGGCGGAGGGGGCGGGCGAGTGGCACTGTGGGGTGCGGCGGAGCCCCGGCCGTGACCCGTGTGTGGGGAAGCGTGTGCGGGGGAGGGGAGGGGGGATGCGACGCGGTGCACGCTCACAGGCTGTCACACACCTCCCTGGAGCAGGTGTGCACCCTCATCAACCTCCCCGCCGCAGCTGTGTGCGACGCCTGCTGCTCGCCCCGCCCCGCCGCACCACCACCACCACCCCCGCCGCCGCCGCCGCCACCCACCCCCCCGCCGCCGCCACCCGCCCCACCTCCGGAGGCGAACGGAAAGGTCGGTCGCCCCCCCTCCCTGGCCGTGCCTACTCCGGCCGTCGCCACCACTCGCTACGAGCGGCAACTCGATGAGTACATAGCCGCCGCGCAGCTCTCCCTCGCCTCCCCCGTCGCTGCCGAGCCGCTCCCGCTCCCGTCCGAGGACGGCGCCGCTCTCCTCGACCTCCTCGCCATCGAGGCTGCCCGAGATTGCCCGAGATGGCCCGAGATTGCCCGAGACTGCCCGAGATCACACTCTCGCCCTCGAGGCTGTGCTCTCGCGGTGTAGAGGGATAACACACCACGCGTGACACACGGTCCCACGCAACACTTCACGCCCACGCGCAACGCGCTCTGCATGGCGCTCTGCCGTGCGCCTTGACCCGGCGCGGCGGGCCCACATCTTGGGACGCTTTCCCCCTCCCTCCCCCTCTCTCATTAGGCTGGCATGCGGTCGCTCCAGGGCTTGCCGACGGCGCTCGCCCAACCCACGGCGGAGGTCGCCTACCGCCACCGCCTTCCGCCCGCCGCCGTCGACCTCAAGGGGGGGGGAGGGGGGGCCAAGCCGTCCGCACTGACACCGCGCACGCGCCCTCCCACGCCTTCACCTCCGGAAGTGGAGAAGCCCCCGCTGGAGGAGGCCCCACCGCCGGCGCCCCGCCCGCAGCAGAGCCGCCCCCTCCCCGCGCCCGGCCCGCCCCGGAAGCGTCGCCTCGCGGCGGCGACGACGCTGGTGAGCAAGGTGGAGCTGATTCGGGAGGAGCTGCAGCTGCTGCCGCGCGAGCCCGAGGCGTCCATCTCGGCTCTGCTGCGCGAGGCGCACCTCGTGCTGTGCATGCAGCCCGTCGGAGGGCTCGTGACGCAAGCGGGCGCGGTCCTGGCCTACCTCTTCGGGGAGGGAGACGGAGAGTGAGCCGAGGGAGCAAGGCGTGGGCGGCGGGGAGAGCGAGGCGACGGACGAGGCCGAGGCCGTGCGGCGAGAGGTCGGGGCGCTAGTCGGGGCGCTGTGACAGCTCATCGTTTCCACCGTAACGAATGAAGGCCTGAAAGTCTTAGTTCCGTCCACTTGACTTGAATTTATTCCTGTTCCTTACGGCTCTATACCGCAATCATCCGCATGGATTCTCGTTTCTCGATCTCTCGCGCCCCAACAACGCCGGAACGCGGAAGATGCAAGATCCTTAATGGTAGAGTCAAGGGACGGTCGACCTCACGTCTCCATGGGACCATGCGCCCGTCATCCCACATCCGTCAAGTCGGACCCAGTCTGCGGCGCGCGACCACAGCACTCGCAGGAAGGTACTCTACATGCGAGCTTTTCAGCGTTTCAAGCGATTGCGCGGCATGTTGTGCGAGTATATGGGACACGATGTCTCAAATATGAGGGGTTTTGACTCCTACCGGCTCCTGACGCTATCCCTGGCAGCTCTAATGACCAGGATCAGTAGTGCTATGATAGAGGGTGCCCATACTAGCGAAGGAGCTGCCACACTCGCCCGGAACGTCCCCTTCTGGGGCCGGTTCTGCAGCCCGCGAGAGCCGACAGCGGGGCCGTGCCGCGGGTGCCTACTGCTGAGTGCCACAAACACTGCGCCGTCCCGCCACCACCTACAGGCTGTCTTGTGTGATGGTTGGGAAATCCAAACGCCACCATCTTGGCTCTTGCGACCTCAAACCCGCGAGCTGTATGGGTGGTCCTGACGTCGACAGACGCCCGAGGACCACGGTGAAGCTGAGCCGGAACGCGTGGCATCGAGCCTACCCACTCCAGTTGGTTCGGCACACTCGGTGGGGTCCACCGAGTGTGCCGAACGCGCGAGCGGTGCTTCCTGGCAGCCCGCGCTGGCTGCGGAGCTGCAACAAACTCGAGACACGCTTTTTGGGACATTTTCGACGCTTTTGTCCCATATACTCGCACAACATGCCGCGCGAAATCCCACACTGGTGGATTTTGGGGCGCTGTCTACCCCCTATTAATGGAAGACTGTAGATCGTAGATGACTTAAAATGGAGATCTCCAGAGGGGCAAGGTGGAGCTGGAGCGTGGAGGGTAGTACGTGGGGCGTAAGCGCGCCTTGTCCCTTGAGAGGCACACCACACCCCGATCGGCCGAAGGTGGATGCAGAAGACAGACTCGTAATACGCAAGACATTTGTAGCTCCCTCAGGCGCCACTTGGCTCGGGCACGACACCGAAATACGCGACGTCTGGCCGACGCACTATGGATCGCGGCCAACCCCGCGTATTTATTTACATTAACATGGCCGATCTGTCTGTGCATTCTGGGCGACTACATATGCAGCATCGCCGATTCAATCAAGTTGGATTCCAGGGACGTTCACTGTCGTAGGACGTACGTTCGCTACGGCGAAGCGCGAGAGCCATCCCTCCCTGCCTGGGGTGCGCCCCGCGTCCGCGTCTGACTGCGGGGGGTGCCCGCGCGCGCGGCAGCGCATGGGCCCACACAATCCCTCGCCTGATCCCACCCCCAAGCATGCTGCTCATGCCGCCACATACATCTCATGTCCCGTTCACCATGCACTCTGACTCGCACAGGGTCTGGCGCCGAGGATGATTATTTCAGTGGGGGATGCCTGTAGTCGCTGGAATCTTGTAGAACCCTTTTTGAATATTCGAATCCCACCACACAGGGATTTTAAGGAGAGGGGTGTGAATCGTGTCGTGCGAGGGGGATCGTAAAATTCCCGTGGTGTACCTGTGTTAGATTCTTCTTGTGTTAGTGCCAGTGCGCGCCAGTCCCGTGCCCAGTGTTGTGCGAGGGAGTTTAATTCTAAAATTCTTGTTGGGCGAGGCACTGTTTAACATTCTTTTTGGGAGCAGCCTTCTCGGATGCTCCTCCTCTGCGCATCCGCCATCCCGAGCCTGCACGCCAGCACCGGGTGTATCAAGGAGCGCAAGATGCAGCCGAGATGCAGCTCCTCCTCAGCGGGTGTATCAAGTCTTGATTATGGAGCACCGGCGGCGGCCACGCACATTCTCGCCGAGGCGGAGGCCGCGCACGCTGCAGAGGTCGCCTCGGGCACCGCCGCAGCCTTCCTCAGCCACCGCACTGCGTCATCGCGCCGAGAGGTGGCCTTCAGCAGCCACCACGTCGGTGCTCGCTTCGTCGGTCCCGATTCCGCCGCTCTCGGCGACGGCGCCTCCAGCGTGCATATCAGCGACGAGGCGGTCCTCGCTCCCGCCGAATGCGCCGCCCTCCGGCTCGAGGCGCGGCTTGCGATGGCAAAGGGCCTCTCGTCGCAGTTCACGTACACGGACGTGGCGCCAATCCGAGAGGCGACCGGTGGCCTCTCTCTCTCTCTCTCTCTCTCTCTCTCTCTCTCTCTCTCTCTCTCTCTCTCTCTCTCTCTCTCTCTCTCTCTCTCTCTCTCTCTCCACATCCCAGGCCGAAGCCCTCAACGGCCGGCAAGGGACGCCCCCTTCCCCCCAGGTGCACGTCGCCGACCTGCCGCTCGCGCGGCAGATGCACCGCCGCAAGCTGGCTCGCCTTCTCGGACCTTTCCTGGACCTTTCCTGGAACCTTCCTGTAGGCGGATGCTCCGCCGCAAGCTGGCTCGCCTGCTCCTCCCGCTGGTGGCTGGCCGCTTCGCCCTGCCTCCCGGCTCGCTGCGGGTGCGGGACGCCGCCGCGCGCTCGTGCATCTCGGGTCGTCCGGGGCCATCTCGGGTGATCTCGGGTCATCTCGGGCGACAGGTGCGGGACGCTGTCGTGCTGCGGTACGACGCTGCTGAGCGGGCGACGAGGCGCGCCGGCACACGGCGGCCGGGAGCCTTCCAGGAGACGTCCTTTTCTCCGGAGGCCTTCTCGGACCCCTTCCCGCAGGCAGCCCTTCCACCGCGACGAAGGGCTCGTCTCGTTCAACGTCCCTCTCTCCCGAGGTTTCGAGGGCGGAGGCGCCCTGCTGTGCTGACCTGCGTGCCGCGCTCGGAACCTTCTCGGAACCTTCTCGCCTTGTCCGCCGGTAGGGACCTGCTTTGAGGGGTCTGGCGCCGTGCTGCGCCCCCCGCAAGGGCGGCTGCTCTGCCACGCGTCGGGGATGCGACACGCGGGCCACGCCATCTCCCGCGGCGTGCGGTGGGTCCTCGTCGTCTTTCTGGTGTCGACGCGCGCGCCGCAGCTCGTGCGGCGCTGCTCCAACCTCGCCGCCGCAGAGGCGAGGCTGGCGGCGGCGGCCGAGGCGGCGAGGGCAGGCCGCGAGAGAGGCGCTTTGAGCGAGGTGGGACGGAGCCCGCTCGCCCGACTAGGCGGGCGGCGATGCGCGAGGCGCGGCGGAGGGGAGGAGGAGGGCGGGCGCGGCGCTGCGCGCGGCGATCGAGGCTGCGCCGGGCGACTTCCAGCTGCGGCACGACTACGGTCTGCTCCTGTGGGCGTCTGGCGACGCAGCGAGGGCGCGCCGCGCCTCTCTCGCGCCGCCCCTCTCTCCGCGCGGCTAAACAGAGAAGCGTGTCGCGCGCTGATGTTTCTCCTCCTCGCACAAGGCTCGGCGCTCCTTTCTCCGCGCGGCACGCCTCTACCCGTGCTGCCCTCGACCGCCCGCGGCTCTGGCCGCACTGCTCGCCGAGGCGGTCGAGATCGCACGAGATCACACGAGATCGCACGAGATCACACGAGATCACACGAGGTCACACGAGATCACACGAGGTGTGTAGGCGGGCCGTCATCGGGCGGCGCTGCGGCGCTACGACGCGGCGCGCGTGGCGCTGGCGCGGCAGGGCGACGGCCAGGCCCGACACACACGCCAGATGCAGCAGACCGGAGCACGGCTTTTTTGGTCCTTGCGCTTCGCAGCCAGCACTCGAGGTTACACGCCGCCAGTTCCCCATTCGGCAGCCGTCGCAGGCACGCGGGTCTGCGAGTGCAGTGCACGGCACCCGCACCCTCCACGGTACCCGCACTCTCCAACACCCCGCGCAGGACCGCAATCTCGCGCTGCTCGTCGCGGTCGGCGCGGGGCGCGGCTTGCTCGCGCTGCGCGACGGCGGCGGCGGTGTGGAGGGGCGGCGAGGCGAGGGCTCGCGCCCGCAGGTGCTGGGAGAGCGGGCCGCGGCCGCGCGGGCGGGGTTCGTGGCGGAGCGAGCCGAGGGGGTGGAGAGATGGCTTGGCGCCGCGCTGGCCGCGATGGGCGGCGCAGAGAGCGAGGCGACGGACGAGGCGGAGGCTGTGCGGCGAGAGGTCGGGGCGCTAGCCGGGGCGCTGTGACACTGACAGCTCATCGTACAAGAAAGAAAGAGAAAACAGACAACCCAAAACGAGGGATGGGAGGAGCAGGTGAGTGAGCCCCCTGTGAGGACAGGGGCGGCAGGGCCTCCCGGCATGTTGTGCGAGTATGTATGTAACTAGTGAGAGGACTCGAGATTGGTTCGAGATTGGGGCGGTCGTGCTTTTCGGCGGTCGTGGAGGTCGTGGAGGTCGTTGAGTGGCGAGTCACGCTCGTGCGGACAGCATCGATGCCGTCACCGGACGCGGCGGCGAGGCACACGGGCGCCGGCGTGGCGCGTCGGCAGGCCCACCACGAGCGGATGCGCGACGAGCGCGCTCGGGAAGCCGCCGCGGGCGACGCGGAGCTTCCGCCGGAGGACGACGCGGTCGAGATGGCGAGCGCCGCCCAGCTGCTGGACAGCGTGGCGGAGGTGGGCCCGAACTACACCCTGCTGCGCAGCAAGGAGACGAAGGCGAAGCGGCGGAAGCGACAGCGCGAGGATGCCAGGGCGGCGCTCGACGGCCACACTGTCCTGTCCACCGGATCGCGCCTCGAGATCTTCTGCGACAGCGAGCGGTGGTACCCTGCGACCGTCATGGCGCGGGAGGAGGACGGGGACGGACGGATCGCGCACCAGATCGAGTACGACGGCTACCCGGATCGGCGGTGGTGGCACATGCTGGACGACGAGCGGTGGCGAGCCGTCGCAGAGCAGGCCGGCACGGGCGTAGGAGGCGCCGCCGCAGACGGGGATGGGGATGCGGCGATGGACCGCGCGGACGGCGAGCGGGGCGCCCGTGCCGCGGGCGACGCCGAGGCGGCCGAGGTGCGGCCGGCGCCGCCTCCTGTGCGCCGGGGTGTGCAGCGCAGCGCGCTGGCGGACGCCCTCGAGGCGGAGGATGACGAGCGGCAGGAGGAGGCCGCGTGCGGCGATGGGCGGCCGATGCTAGCGCCACACGGGCCGGCGCTGTCAGTGCAGCTTCGGCGCGTGCGCCTGCGGCTGCGCGAGTTCCTGGCGACGCAGGCCGCGGCGGGGAAGAGCGTGCCGATGCAGCGGACGGCCCTCGGTCTGCACCCGACGATGCGGTGGACGATCCGCTTCGGCAAGTGGCTGGCGACGACGCGAATTACCGCGCCGAGGGCGAGCCGGTGGCACGCGACCGAGCGGGGCGACGCGCGGGACGAGGAGCCGACGGTGCGCACGGGGCGCGGCGAGAACACGGTCTACGTCGCGCTGCAGCACATGAAGAACCACGTGTGGCGCGAGATCTGGCCGGCGATGCCGGACGACGCGAGGCAGTACTGGCGGCTGGTGACCAAGCAGGTGATGTCGCTGTACGACGGCGGCGGCGGCGGGATGAAGGACGCGGCAGGAGCCGCCGGCCGGGCGGCGGGCCGCGAGGCGGCGCAGGAGAGCGCGTCGCACGGGCAGAGTGAGGCGGCGCAGCGGGCGGCGAGCGAGAGGGCGAGCGCGGTGGCGAGCCGGCGGACGATGGCCGAGCTGCGCGAGGCGACGACGAAGCCGTGCACGAAGCAGCACCTCTTCCAGGTGGGAGAGTACCTATGGGACAAAAGCGTCGAAAATGTCCCAAAAAAGCGTGGTGAGTTTGTGGCAGCTCCGGAGCCAGCGCGGGCTGCCAGGACGCACCGCTCGCGCGTTCGGCGCACTCCCTGGCACCCAGGGAGTGCGCCTAACCGACCAGACCGAATAGGCTCGATGCCGCGCTCGCTGTGGAGCTGCCACAAACTCGCCGCCGAGCGTGCCACCGACGGCGTCCTGGCGGAGGTGGTGGAGTTTGAGACCTGAGGCTGCGGAGGTGACGCCTGAGGTACCGGGCCGTGCACGACGACTCAGCCGGCGACCGCCACGGGCTCAGACGAGACTTCTCGACGCGTTCCGGCTCAGCTTCACCGTGGTCCTCGGGCGTCTGTCGACGTCAGGACCACCCATACAGCTCGCGGGTTTGAGGTCGCAAGAGCCAAGATGGTGGCGTTTGGACATCCCAACCATCACACAAGACAGCCTGTAGGTGGTGGCGGGACGGCGCAGTGTTTGTGGCACTCGGCAGTAGGCACCCGCGGCACGGCCCCGCTGTCGGCTCTCGCGGGCTGCGGAACCGGCCCCAGAGGGGGACGGTCCGGGCGAGTGTGGCAGCTCCTGCGCTAGTATGGGCAGCCTCGATCATAGCACTACTGATCCTGGTCATTAGAGCTGCCAGGGATAGCGTCAGGAGCCGGTAGGAGTCAAAACCCCTCATATTTGAGACATCGTGTCCCATATACTCGCACAACGAGCCTCCCCACCTGCACGAGCAGGATCTTGTAAGGACGATCAGGGGTACAATAAATAAATAAATAAAACGGACACCTCTTCTTGGAGAAGGGTAAAAAGGAACAGGTCCCCCCGCCCGTGCGATCTTTGTGCGCAGGGTTCTTTCGTTTGCGGTTTGCAAAACTGTCAGGTCCGCCGCGACGCGTCGCCGCAATGGCGGGCAGCGACGTGGTGCAAGCCATACGGCTCGCCCTCAAGCCGTTTAATATCCGCGAGAAAGCGCTGCGCGGTACTCGGCAGTGTCGCAGTGTCGAGCAACACTCGGTGTCAGAGCGTCGCGCCTCCATCAGTAGTCTCATCACCGAGTGATTGCTGGCCTGTGGCGTATGACCTCGCGCGGATATCACCAACGATGAGCATGCGAAGATAGGGAACAATATCTTGTACAGCCCGCTGAGCTCCCCGCTGTGCCACGGCGTACGATGGGCTGCGAGAGCCGTATCTTCCCTCCTTGAAGCAGAGGAGCCGCGAGGCACGAGAGGCGTAGAAGAGAGGCTGGCGTGCCCCGCACCTCCCGGTTGGCAGTAGGAGGGCCCGCCGGTGAGACCACTGATTTTGATGCCGACTATAAATTCTCGCCACTGGAACGCATGCTACTTACAGCTGCTGTCTGTACAGAGATGCCAGCACCCCCCACAGGCAGAGCGCTCCTGCTGGGGGGGGGGGGGGTCCGGAACCCCCCAGCAGTAGAGCCCTCCTCCTGGGGGGGGGGGGGTCCCGACCCCCCCAGCAGCAGAGCGCTGCTGCTGGGGGGGGGGTCGGCCATGAGCTTAGTTGTGCAGGGGGGGTAGCGAGCAGAGTGCGGCCGCTCCGGCTCCCGTGGTGTACCTGTGTTAGTGCCAGTGCGCGCCAGTCCCGTGCCCAGTGGCAGTGTTGTGCGAGGGAGCTTTGTTGTAAAATTCTTTCGTTTGTGGGTGTGGTCGGCGACTAGCCGGGGTCGTCCTCACGGTGGGGGACTAGCACTAGCCGGCTTCCACATGGTCCCTCGGGGGACGGGGGCACAGGGGGGGTTGTGGAGGTTGAATTCTCCTGCTCCTGACAAGGGAGACACGACAGCGGACAGGCTCGCAGCCCGCAGTGCTCGGTACACTGACTGGCGCGTGGCGGTCTCATCTCAGTCTATCGTTTCCACCGTAACGAATGAAGTGCAATTCTTAGTTCCGTGTCCTGTGTCCGATCTCCAGATACCAGAGTCTGATCCTCGAGTGCCCTCGCGCCTCGGACACCCCCCCCTGGCCCTGCGCCCTGGATCTTGCATCTTGCATTTGGTGTGCATTTCCGTGGGGGCGAACACGCTGCGCACGAACGGCGAATGGTTGCGACGCAATTCGTGTGATCTCGACGGGCGAGATACGTTTTCGCTCCACGAGTCTGAAAACCTTTTTCCATCAGCCATCAGCATCACACAACAATCGTCACAGTAGATGAGGATATACAGTACAAACGCAAAAATAGGTACGCATGCCCCGGGACGAAGAGCACCATTGCCGGCGAGATGCCCAGGCTGTCAGAAGCCCTCGCATCTCCGGCGCGGCACGGCGCCAAACGGGGTGCACGCGCGTCAAAGAGGGCGGTCCACAGAGGGCAGGGAGGGGTTCACATCAGACAGGCCACGCGGTGCGGAAGCAGCTGCAGCATCGACAACACAAGAGGAACGGCAATGTAGCACGACAAGGACACCAGCACGAGGGCCGCCCCACCATTAGAAGCCCCAGAAGGGGATGGTGGCGGCGGTGGGGATGCCCGAAGCCACTTCCTGCACGACGTACGCGAGGACGGCGAGCATCGCGATGCGGCTGTTCCAGATCTCGCCCTCCTGGAGCGAAAAGAACTGGGGCGAGCCGCGCTCGGCGATGCGCGCCGTCGTGTAGTCTCCGGGCATCCAGGCCTCGCCCTGCGCCTTCTTGATGCGCAGGCCCTGCGCCTCGACGAGGGAGACGAGCACGGCGAAGGTGACGACCGCCGACGGGATGATGCCCTGCTCGAGCCCGCCGTTGAGGACGGAGGGAGAGAGGCCCCCCGTCTCGGCCACGAGATTGGGCATGTGGAAGCGGGCCGCGAGCAGCGGGTTCAGCTTCTCCTGCAGCGGCCACGCGACGGCGGCCAGCATGGCGAGGCGGCCGTGCTTGAGCTCGGCGTCGCGGTAGTCGCGGAGCACCAGGGCGGCAGAGCGCTGCTTGTCGATGCCGCTGTCGAGAAGGAGATCAAAGTTGGCAAGGCCGAGCGGGTCGAAGCCGATGTCACCTGCAACGGACAAGCCGTGTGTGTGCGCGCGCGTGTGTTGTCAGTGAAAGGGCGGTCGGCGCGTGGGTCGGCTCGCGCCTGGAAGGCCGGTGCCGCCCACTTCGCTGGGAGAGCCGGCGCCCGGGTAGAAGGCGACCGTTGGCTTCGGAGTCGGCGTGCGCGAGCCGAGGAGCGAGGGCGCAGCGGCGGCGACGAGAGCGAACATTGATTTGATGCGTGTCTGGATCGGCCACAGGAATGTCCCTGACTCTTCCGTTCCTTTTCGCGGCAATTACTGGCGCTGGCGGTTTTCTTCAAAGTCGAGTGTTGAGCGGAAGCGTGTTTGTCGCGCAGTGGCTGCCCGCTGTTTGATGTTGTGGCCTTGCTGCGGAACGTTGACAGCAGCGTCCGCCAAACTCGTTCTTCGTGGTACACTTCATGTTTCGAGTCTTCTTGCCCACCGACATCGAGAGAGAGAGATTGTTTCCTTCTTGACATCGACAAAACAAGAAGAAAGATTGTAAAAAATCTCTCTCTCAAAACAACGTGTGTTAGAGTTGTTTGATATTGCTAAAAATTTCTCTCTCCGACATCGACAAACAAAAACTCTCATTGAACATTTGTATAGCGCGCTCAGCGCTCCATTTGTTTAGACGTGTCAGGGTTGCGCAATACATAATACGTATTAATACAACTACAATACAATACGTATAATACACTATACAGCGGATGTCAGAATCCGTATTATTCTGTTACGCCGCCGCCGCCGCCGCCGCCGCCGCCGCCGCCGCCGCCGTCGCTGCCACCGTCGCCGTCGCCGTCGCTGCGGCCGTCGCCGCCTCCGCCGCTCTCGCCGCCGCCTCCGTCGCCGACCTGGCGGAGACCGCCCGCGCCGCCTCGGCCGCCGCCGGCTCCGCCGCGTTTGTTGTGGCGGCGGCGCTTGCCCCCCCTCCCCCCCCCGCCGGCGCCCTCAGCAGGCCCGCGGTCAGCCGCTGCAGCCTCCTCGGCCGTCTTGTCGGCGCCATCGTCGTGGCAGAGGTCGCAGGCGGGCGAGGCGTCGGCGCTAGCCGGGCAGCATGCGCAGCCCCCGCCGAATGCCTTGAGAGGCGAGCCGGCGCCGGAGAGCGTCGGCCGGACGCCGGGTGGGAGGCCGGCTGGCGCACCGCCGCAGCCCTCGTCGAGCTCCATCGCCTCCGATGCTGCACCCTCCGGGTCCGCCAGCGCCGCATACCGCCCAGAGGCCGCGTGCGGGGGGGACGGGGGGGCGCCGGGCTCGGTCGACCCGGTCGACCCGACCGACTCGCCCGCCTCGCTCGCTCCGCCGGCCCCGCCTGCCTCGACCACACCCATAATACAATACGTATTAATACAACAATACAATACAATACGTATAATACACTATACAGCTCAGTCTCGCTCGTATTGCGCAACCCTGGGACGTGTCGGCGAGGGGAGGGAGGGGAGCGCCCCCCCCCCCCCCCCGTCCATTGTCGTATTCGTAGCCCCACCCCGTCCGGTGGGGGGGAGGGTGGCAGTCGCCGAGCCGACAGCAGTGCCCGGCCGCCCCCTCCCCACAGGCATGTCGACGTAAGCAGCAGCGACGAACAAGGACGAGTATGAATGGAATTTCTTTATTCCACGCGGGAGTCGCTTAGGCGGCTCCCGTGGTGTACCTGTGTTACTGTTAGTGCCAGTGCGCGCCAGTCCCGTGCCTAGTGTCGTGCGAGGGAGTTTTGTTTCAACTTCTTTTTCTTTTGTTGGTGCAGAACGGCTGACTTGAGGCATCGAAAATTCTTTATTCCACGCGCCAACAACTGCCCGCGGCTCTCTTTACGACGAGTGCTCCCATGAAAAGCGGCCGACCAAAAGCTGGCTCAGCCGCCTCCCGGCGCCGAAGAACGAATCGATGAACTAAGAGGAGTAAGTAAGGAAGAAGTCCGAGCGTTCGCCCGTCCTGTCGCTGCCTGGCCAGCCTCTCTGTCGCACGTCTAAATTCCAGGGGGAGGCAAGGATTCCCGCGTAAAAAGACGTGCTGTGAAATTCTTCGACGCCCACCCGCGGGACCGGACCGGACCCCACACACAGCGATTGATTGATTGATGGGAAGGCGAAACACAGTCCGACCAACGACTGGGACACCAACGCGGTATGGGTGGACGCTAGACGGGCGATGACGGTCACACAGGAGCGACACACAGAACCACAAGACAAGACACTCAGCCAAACTGACTGCCACACATCCTGAGCGAACTTCCCTAGTCACCCGCGGCCGGACTCCATCCGGCACGCGTCGCTGGGCGCTCAGAGCCGCGTCCCCTGCTCGCCACCCCGACGCCCAAGGCGCCCGAATCGAACGACAGGCGGCACGCGAAGACTGGTTGCAATCCCGCCGACCGCGAGGCCGCGGGATGATGCGTGCGTGGTCTTGGAGTGGGTCTCGGAAGCTCCCCTCTCGGGCTAGGAGCCAGCCCCTCTCCCTTGCCCTCGGGACACTGTGTCCGAGTCGAGGCGTGTGCTTGCCGGTCGACGGCCGCGCGCGGTTGGCATTGTAACGAAGGTTGCGCGCGGCCGCGGCGCGCCCGCCATGGCTTGGCGCGGCGCGCCTACCAGCGGCAATTGTCGAGGCACGGGAACGCTTACCCGGGGTCATCCTCTGAGCCTGGTCGTCGGCGCCGCGATGCCACGGCGGCGCATTCGACGTCGTCGGCGCGCTGCCCCGCGGTGAGCCCCGCCGCTCGTAGCGACGGCCGCAGGTTGGCCCGGTGCAGCGCGCCCTGGCCGCAGACACAGCGCACGCGCGCGGACGATCACATCATGTGTGTATCGCGCGCCTTGCGGGGGGGGCGCGGAAAAGAGGAACCTCTTAGCGCCATCGCCATGGTGCTGCAAGCAGCGCCGGGCAACGACGGCTTACCGCCTCCCGGTCCCCCTCGGCACACCTCCGCTGCTTAATGTTTGACGACTCGAACCCGTGAAGCTTCCCCGTGCGCGGGTTACCCCGCACACGGGTCAGCCTGCCAGCCACGTATCCACGCAAGCGTGGTCCGCGCGCATGGCATACAGGCGTTCGCCAGACAGCGCATCACACCTCCGTGCAGGCTTGAATTTCCGCCGCTTGGATTTCCGCCCCTTGGCGCAGCAGGCGCTCACTCGCGTCTCGGGCGTAGTAGCTCGACATGGATGCCGGATGCCGCGTCCGCCTCCACGGCCTCGTTGCGCGTGCCGAGCTCAACAGCACGGTCTGCACTCTTACCGGCCCGCAGCTGACGAACGGCCGGTATCCTGTCAAGCTCGATGACGGGCAGGAGCTCGCGGTCAAGCTCGACAACCTCACGCTGTCAGTGTGCGGTGAGCACGCTCCGTGCTCGGCACTGGCTCGGACGTGCTGGGGCTGTGGCGCGGTCGAGGGCGAAGTCGTATTCCAGCAGTGCCAGCTCTGCGTCGATCGGAAGCTCGCGCCGTCCTTCTTCTGTGGCCGCGAGTGCCAGAAGGCATCCTGGCCACGCCACAAGCTGTGGCACGAGGAGGCGAAAGAGAATGCGAGCCGTGGCGCCACGGACGCGGCACGCTCCAAGGATGAATTTGTCGCGACTTTCGACGAGCGTGTTCAGACGACAGCGCAATCGCTCCAGGACGTCTTCGCGACGCACGGCTACAACGCGCATGCGCAAGCCGAGACATCGCGGTACATGGAGATGCAGACCGTGGGGCTCGGCCTGATGCATCTCGGCAACCTTGCCAAGGCCGCCAAGACCTTTCGAAAGTCGATCAAGCTCTGCGACAAGCTTCCGTTTGGCTTCTACAATCTCGCTCTCGTACTCCTCCGCTCCAACGACGCATTCGGCGGCGCACAACACGCGCTCAAGGCCGTGGAGTGCCTCGGCCCTCTGCATAGCACGAGCAGTGGAGTGCACGATCAGACGTGGGCCGAATGCTACTCGCTGGCCTTCAAGGCGTTCTACTCAGCGCTCCACAAGAGCCCTGCGACTGCGATGTCAATCGAGCCACCGTGGTGGAACGACGGCGACTTGCGGCGCATCTCGAAGATTATCGTCGAGAAGCTGGCTTCCGACGCGGACGCGTGGGAGATGCGCGCGTGGGTCCTGTGCGGCATGATCGCGCATACTTACCCCACATCATCGATCCCAGAACCATCGAGTCACTGCCTGGATTGCCGTGAGGCGGCGCGCTGCTTCTTTAAGCAGGCGGAGCTCGCTCCGATGAAGAAGACGCGATGCCTCGAGGCTGCGGCCAACTGCATGCGTGAGGCGCAAAAGGTCGAGGAACTCGCGCGTCAACACGGCGTGCCCTTGTGAGCAGGGTCTGGCCGGCTCGGTTTCGGTGTTGAGCGGACGAGATGCATCACTGTGAACCGTTGAGAGCACTTCTCGTCTCATTTCCCGGTCTAAGGCTTCACATCACACATGGCTTTGGTTTTGATTTTTGGTTATTAATCTCGGACCGGAGTCGCGGCGGATCGGGGGTACCCCGTGGGTGGTTTTTAAGCTTACCAGCGGTCTCTCCAGCGCGCGCCTCGTGCGTGTTCTAGAGAGTGAGATTGGGGTGGAGCGTGGAGGGCGCTTCCAGGGCCCCCCACGAAGGTAGGGATCAATTAGTTCCGGATTCACACGCTGCCCTCGACGCCTGATTTCGGATCCGATCTCAGGAGGATGGCACGCCTGGCGCGCCATCCGCCGCACGGTGTGTGTGGATGGCTGTTAGCGAACCTCCCTGTTCGATCGCTACGGACCGTGCCCTCACACCACCCTTCCCACCCGCCGACAGCGCCGCCCTCGCCGCCACCCTCTCCGTCCTCGCCACCGCCCTCCGGCGCCGCCCTCGCCGCGCCGCCCTCGCCGCGGCGGCGGCCGCCGACGCGTCATTGCCGCTGAATCAGTCCTCGCGCAGCGGCGGTGACGCGACGGGCACGTGCGCTCGTGCCGACGCTCGCGGCGGGGCGGTGCGTGTATTGAACGCGTCGGACGCGTCGGACGCTTGCGTGGCGTCCTGTGCGTCCGTGTGCGTCCATGTGTGCGTCGTGGCCGGGCCAGCAGGGCGAGCCGGAGGGCGAGCCGGAGGGCGAGCCGGAGGGCGAGCCGGAGGGCGAGCCGGAGGGCGAGGACGAGGGCGAGGACGAGGGCGAGTACAGTTACGAGGGTGAAGATGAAGATGAGGATGACGAGGATGACGAGCCTGACCCCGATTTCGAGGGGACTGAAGGTCCGCCGTCGTCGCCGGGCGTCTCGTACACCGTGCGCAAGAAGTTGAGCAGCCTGACACTCGACGAGCAGCTGCGCTTTGTCCGCTCCGTCGAGAAGATGATGGAGCCCGGCAAGGGTGGTCCTTACGAGCTACTGGCGAGGCTGCACGGCTGGTCTATCCCTTCGGCGTTCTCTTGCGTGCACGGATCAGACAACTTCCCGCATTGGCACCGCCTTCACCTGTATTACTTACCGCCCCGACGGCCGACCCCGCGCGCGTCGACGATTCATCGGGACGCGGGGGCTCTCTCGGCTACGGACGGCCTACGGCGTACGGGACCGGCCCCAGCTTCGGCTGAGGGCTGTGGTAGAGCCAGGGTAGAGCCCGACAAGCTGCCGAGCGAGCCCGAAGGAGGTGGGGTCCTCACCCCGGCGGCCCGCGCACGCCGTCTGACAGTGGGTCTGAGCCTAGCGCAGCGCGAACTCGCTCTGAGCCTAGCGCAGCGCGAGATTTGCGCAGCAACCCGGCCGGGCAACCCTGGAAAAGTTATTGTGCACCTCCTCGCCGACCTGGCAGATTCCCCTGGGACGCCAGGAGCGGAACCAAGCTCTTGGCGTTGTCGTCGTATGCGCTGTAGAGCTGTACAGCTCTACATCTGCCGCGGGACGAAGCGCCTCCGTTGTAGAGCGATGTATGTAGAGGGTAGAGCGGGCGTGCGCGGGCGTGCGCGGGCGTGCGCGGCGTGCGCGTGCGCACGTGCGCGTGCGCAGGCGTGCGCGGCATGCGCGGCCAGAGCGCAGGCAAGTGCCCGAGGGTATGGGGGCCACCCTAGGCACACACACACACACACACACACACACCTAGGGCTGCCCGTAGCATCGTCGGCTCAGTGATGGGTATCCTAGATCGCTCACACCAGGGTTCCGGCTCCTACCCGGATAGGGGGTCTGTGGGGATAGGTAGGTAGGTAGGGCGTTTTGGCGCCAGCCAGTTGATTGATTGATGGGAAGGCGAAACACAGTCCGACCAACGACTGGGACACCAACGCGGTATGGGTGGACGCTAGACGGGCGATGACGGTCACACAGGAGCGACACACAGAACCACAAGACAAGACACTCAGCCAAACTGACTGCCACACATCCTGAGCGAGCTTCCCTAGTCACCCGCGGCCGGACTCCGTCCGGCACGCGCCGCTGGGCGCTCAGAGCTGCCAGTGCGAAGACCCCCTCTACCCAACCGACGGCGTGAGATAGGGTGCTGACCTTTCTCGCCGAGGCTCGCCGTGGCCCCACACGGCGGCCTCTGCTCGCGTTTTCGAGCCAGGACCTTCGTCCGGGCCCACGGCCGGCACGCCGTCAATTTTCCTCGCCGATTCCGCGCGCTCGGCCGCCACCGCGGCGCCTCCGAGAGCGCCGTTTCGACACGCTGCAGCGGCGGGCCGCGGCACCTCGACACACCGCTTCTCGCGCCGCCTCGAGGTGCTCCGATCGTGCACGCGGGTCGGCTCGGCACGGTGCGTGCAAATTATTGCATGTATTCGCACTCGCTGCGCCACGTATCTGCCTCTGACGGCCCGATACGCCTCCCGAAGCGCCACAGGTCCACACACGCGGGGCTGCGCGAATCTCTCGCGGCCCACCGCCCTCCCACACGCCGTTCGACCTCCACACAGGCGCTCGCTCGAGCCTCGCCGTCCGGGCGGTCCTGCGCGTCCAGATCTCGGCGACCATGACCCGCCACGCGCCAGCTCTGCACCTCTCCCGCGCGCGCCCGGCTGCTGGCATGGCGTGGCGGGCGAGGCTGGCGCGCTGCGACCGGTGGAGCGCCACGCGGGCAGCGCACCAGCCTCGCACGCACCTCTCCACTGCGCCGCGTGCGCCGAGTTGCGTCAAGATACAGTCAGCGGCCTTGACGGCTGAGTTCACCACATAGCTCGCGGTCTGAGCGAGGCTCTTGGTGCGGCGGCAGCGTAGTGTGTGTGTGTGTGCGGACGGAGCACTTGCAATGTTAACCCGGTCTCTCTTCGTGAGATCTAACTATGAATGTCACAAAACTTCCTCCGTATCAATTACTCTAGCACCACGACTAACCCTAGCCTCGCTCGTAGGCCCTGCAGGCCCAGCCTGGCCAGGCGACGAGTCTGACGGCGGAGGGGGCCCGGCACCGACGACCGTCCCGACAAAGACAGGCTCCACTGGGGCTAGGCCGATGCCTGGGCACCCCCGCTTATTCTCTTTCGTCTTGCCGTGCGACCGCACCATGCCGTCACTGCGCAGAGTGCTCACTGTATCTTGACGCAACTCGGCGCACGCGGCGCAGTGGAGAGGTGCATAGCGGGTGGGGAGGCCCTAAAACGGCGGGAGGGGTAGGGCTATATCGATAGAGCTAGACGGCTCAACCACCCCTCCACCCCTCCACCCTCCACCCCTCCACCCTCCCGGAGCGAGAGAGGTCCGTCTTCGAGCCCTCCCACTTCCACCCCTCCGACCGGAGGGCTCGCCAGCCCACAGGGCTGGAGGGGTCCCCGTCGGATCGGCGTCGGGAGGGCTCCACAGGGCTAACCCCCTCCCCGGACGCCGGGTGGGCTCGGAGGGACGGTCGGACAGGGGAGGATCTTCATGGCGGGAGGGCTCGAGAGGGGTCGGAAGGGCCCTCCGGGAGGGGTCGCAAAAAGATAAAGAAAACGAAGTCGCGGCTTATGTGACTGCCCCCCAAGAGGGCTCGGAGGGCTCGGAGGGCTCGGGAGGGCTGGAGGGCTAGAGGGCTCCATTAGGGCTCGGAGGGGTCGATCCTCTGAGCCCTCCGACCCCTCCGACCCCTCCGACCCCTCCGACCCCTCCGACCCCTCCGACCCCTCCGACCCCTCCGACCCCTCCGACCCCTCCGACCCCTCCGACCCCTCCGACCCCTCCGACCCCTCCGACCCCTCCGAGTTCCCCGACCCCGGCTCGGAAGCTCGCCTCCAACCCCTCCGAGCACTCCATCCGAGGGCTTGAAGGGCTCGGAGGGGTTGGAGGCGAGCTTCTGAGCCGGGGTCGGGGAACTCGGTGGGGTCGGAGTGGTCGGCGCTGCCGGCCTATCAGGTTTCCTGGTTCTGGAGTCTCCC